TGTTTGTTTTTTGGGGGTGGGTAGGGGAGGGGAAGCAAGTTGTTTTGTGGTTCATCAACATCTATATTGTAATTGTTCTTGCTTTTCTTTCAGTGGCATTAAAATGTAGGCAATGTAAAGTGTAATCACACAGTCAAATTAGCACGGGACACTAGCTCACTTGCTCGGAAATTCTGGTACAGAAGAAAGAGCGCCACCTACTGGTCCACCACAACCCGTTGTTTTTTTTGTGGTGGTGTCCTGTGTAGGTTAGGAACTAATTAGGGCCAGCCTTATATAGCTTCTGAGATTGTAACACTCCTCCTGGTACTCCGGAGGCCAGTTTCCTGGACCGTGTTGTGGACGCAGAGGTTCAGTAAAAATGTACTTGACCACTGCTCTGTCCCTCTGCTGTTGAAAGCCTTTTGGCTCTCATTCATGAAGATGAATATGTTGCTATTAGGAGCTGTCTGTGTTCCCAAAAGTTGTGTGGTTGATTTCTACATTAGCCCAGTACAACTGTTAAGGTGGTAAGTATTGTTTCTGGTCACCCCGAGTGTAATCACCATTCAATACAACCTCCCATCTGTACAGTTAAAAGCTGACAGAGCAATTATGGCTGCCTGGGAAACAAAAGGAAATTATTGGCTGTTGTGTAAAATTCATTACTTTCACTGTACTGAGCGAGTGCATTTTGTTTCTTTTTAAATTAAACATATACACAGTGTACCGAAAGCATTATCAAAAAAGTGATCAGCAAGGAAAAAAATCAATTAATTTCAACAGGAAAAACTTTTTTTTTCCCTTAAAGCTTGTGTTTGTTTAGAACTCTGTAGGCTGTGGCTGTAAAAAGGAGAGCACAGCAGGGAGCCAGAAAGGTGCTGTTCAATCTTTATTACCGCTTGCAGTTGTTTTGATCTTAATCTAACAATGAATGGTGGTGTTGTGCTCTTGTGTTGGGGGCATTATTGGAAATGGGGTTATTTGTTTCTGCAGCGCTTGTGGGGTGTGTTTGAGCGACAGGGCTGGGATTGATCGGCCGTAACTGGTCGCCCTGTCGGCAAACCTCAGCTTCCTCGTCCTGTTAGGGACTGCAGATCTCGAGGGCACGTGGCTAATTTGTTCTCCACAGCCCCGAGGTCTTTGGCCTTTTTCTCGCTGGAAAGGCTCTTGAAAAGCTGCACCGAGGAGGCGGAGATGTCAAGTTGTTGGGCTTGATGCGCTGTGCAATAAAAACCGCCAGGACTTCTGTACCCAGGCTTATCGTCAGCTGCGCCCTTGAAGGCCCTGTAGCACGTGATGGCTCTGGCACGTCCTTGCCCGGGTCAGGCCGGCCACACGTGGCAGGCGGGCTCGGCTCTCTTGAGTGTCGGCGGAGCTCACCGTGCCTTCTGTCCCCCCTCAGGGTCCGAGCTGCTGTACCAGCCCGAGGTGGTGAGGCTGTACCTCTCCCTGCTCACGGAGAGCCAGAACTACAACACCCTGGAGGCTGCGGCCGGGGCCCTGCAGAATCTGAGCGCAGGCCAGTGGACTGTGAGTGGCGGGG